TGGCAAGTCACACGAGAGCTATCTGCCTTTAAGAGGACGGATGTTTTCTGGGGGGGGGACTTTCTAAGAGAAAGTAGCTTCTATTCTAATTACACAGGGAAACAACCAAGGAAACCAACCATGCAGCTAGCATTTTTACTTAGGTTCAAACCCACGATAGTAGCATTCAACTGTCTTACCGAATCGGCTACTATTGAGGTCCACATAGCACGCATAAGACAGATCCATTTGTTATAAATGTTTATTTTGGTAGTATTTGAGACTTTAAAAAGATATGAAACTATTTGAGATATTTCTAGCTTGACGTCAAGAAGCATTAAGATATCCTATATGAGGGGGTTATTAAACAAGTTATGTGTTTTCTTAATATTCATTCACTTAAATAGTAGAAAAATACTGAATACAAATATACTATTTTATTTACTGTTGGAAATCATATTTAAATTCTTTAAAAGACTTCTGCTGAAATATACAAAATTCAGCAACTATTTACAGGAAATTAATTTTATATCGAGTCCCTGACACAATACTCTCACTACAGGAAAATCAATAAATATAATTACTTGTAAATAATTTGTTGAATTAGGAATAGAATGCTATAATGATGTGAGTGCTGGTAAAATTGTAACTTATTTAAAAGAGTCGATTTGCCAACTAGTGGCTACTAATGAAAGACATTTGGATACTGGTAGGTCATTTCACATTCATTCATCACTGACTGTCAATACTGCAAAGAGTTTTTCTGGATTTTCTCATGTGTAATATAAATACAAACACTTTTCCATTAAAAGGTTTTCGATAAGGTATCCTTCCTAAAAACAGGCAACCATCGCGTGAATAGTTTAATACACTTAACCAATCAGATATGAAAGTATTTCAAGCTGGCTTTAGAATTATTAAAAACCATGTTCACTTGCAATATCTTAACAAAAGTGGATTAAAAAAAATCTGATGTGTACACCACATGACTCCCTTGTACGGAATAATTAATTATACGCATTTTTTCTTGCATTTCATTTAAATTTATTGGATTGAATTAAATCTACTTCGTCGATAGCGCATAAACGACAATAGAATAAACGCATTCTTTAAACTTCACTCTATGTGTTTACCATAGCGACATTATGGCGTTAGGTTCACTTAACAGCGTTATATTTCGTTCATATTATAACTCAGAATGCACAACATTCATATCATTTGAAGAATTATCTAATTGTTGCCACATGTTCTATTCAATTATTATAATAAGTCCAGAACGATCTATAAAAGAAATTAAGCAAACAAAACAAAAAAAAAAAAAAAACAGTTTTACACAGATGATTCAGTATTTCTCATTCAATTAATTCAGTTCTCACTTCTCGACAAGGCAAAAATACATAAAAACTCAAAATATCTATATTAAAAATTATGAAGTAAATCTTAAACACTTATTTCCTCGAAAAAATTCCAGATCGGATTAAGCATGACTTGATTCGCAATAACAAATGAAGGCGTAATCTTTGTTGTTGCGAAGTTTAGTTTCTCTAGATTGGCAACAAATGTATTATTCTGCTGTTTCAAATGTAAACAAAGATATCCGCCATGTTATTTAAAAATTAGGCTTAACCGCACTTCAACAACTCTTAAATTGTTGATAATTCTACAAGTATTGCTTGCAGATTTCCTAAAGGCATAAAAAACTTAACCGGAAGATAAGAACAACATAATTCAATCATTTTTAAAGCAAAAAATGCACAATTTACAAGCATATAAGAGTAAAGAGACTGAGATCACTGAGCCGGGTAACAGAGTGAATATATATATAAATATATTTATATACGTTTGGGGCGGCCGATCGGCAACCAAAATACGAAGTGCACATCTACATGTTATAGCTGTCTTATATACAAAATTTGTACGTACAGACACCACGAAAAATCTCTTTAGAGTTCATTTTAAAGCAGTTTTATAATTTTTTTTGGAGAAAAAGAGTCTTTTATTCTGTCCTTGCGTATAGATGTCACGCAAAAACATCGTTAAATTGTGTTCGATATCGGTCAAAATGGATATTTTCGTTGAAATATGCTGCCTGAAACTTTTCGCGATTGCAATACTGCCTTTTTACTTCGTACAAGGAAGTAATATACCCAATACATTTGTAATATACCCAATATATGTTTCTCTTTTTCAATATGTGATGTGTGAATCAAAATGAGGTGTTGAAAAATAAATTGTCTTTCCATGAAGAAGATTCTTTTTTTAACTGAGACATCACTTTTGCAGTCCCTGCACACAAGAAAAGGTAATGAAGTTTTTTCTTATTTTTAAACGAGATTAATAAAAGAAACTGCATACGTTACGGCAATGAATGCTGGGAACTTCGATCAACACTAGTTAATTAATTACAATAATTCTGACTAAGTGTTTAGGATCGTAACCTCGTCAATTACTGTAGCTTAGCAACTAGTCATTACAACTGATAATCGGCGAGAACTCTCATCAGTTATTTTTTTACTACTTTAATTATATTATTACAAGTAGTGCATAATAAAATCACACTTTAAGCTTTATCTTGTGTTTCTCAGTAAGAATTAACAGAGGAAAAACCTCGCTAAGCATTACAGCTAACTTCTTATGGAGAATCGCTAGGTTTGATACGAAATAACTGTAATTATGCTAAATATTTCTAGAAATTATGTGAAATCCATGCACTGTCAGTTAGCATAATATTTAGAGCTTAATAACGGTTTCATCCAAATGAGTAGGTCATTTCTTAAAAATGAATGCATGTTAGCTTCAGAACAACTACATTCAACCAAGGGGATATTTCCGTTGGAAAATGGAGATATATGGGAGCAATGTCCCCGAGTCACATAACTGGTCCTATTTTAACTTCAAATAATATTTGACGAATTAGAGACATAGTTTCAATAATTCAGAGTTGTATAGAGGCCGCTTCCAAGAGATTACATGCCGTTACTCAATGTGGATGAAATCGATAGAGGTTTTAAAACGGATTGATTTTGAAGAAACCTTCTAGATCTTCTGACCTGACGTTCACAGAAGTTTTACCTATTCTAGCATCGTAGTTCTTTCATGCTTTATTACTTTTCTCTAGATAGGTAATACTAAGTTCTTTTCCTCTTTTTTCTGTGGCCTTTACATTTTTACCCGTCTATATTCAGCTGTTTACTTATCCCCCATTTAAAATATTTTTTTTCTGAAGAAGAGCTTAGGCCAGATCACCCTTGAAATAAACATAATTTTGTTCAAAATCTGCGCAGTCTAATTTTACGGTTTTGCCCGATTTTATATTGGTATGTTCGTCTTTCAATTAAATCTTTATTTAGTAACATCTATTCAAAATTTACCTTTATATTACTTATATGTACAAGTACAATTGATAGTAATATTAATATGCTTTCTGGAACTTCCAGTTAGGTATGTAGTTTTAAACAGCATACCTAATTGTAATCGGCAACCTATCTCGGCAAGGTTTAGATATTTTTAATGCTATTTGCTACGGGAGGTAGCAGTGCATTATAAAAATATGTCTACCTGAAGGTCCACTCGAGTGGTCTATAGCTGAACAGAAATAATAAAATTTCAAGTACTGTATTGTAAAGCTTCCCTTAGTTTAATTAACCAATTATTCAAATTTCTGTAATCTTTCCTGAACTCCTCAACTTCCCCTTGCATTTCCTCTTCAGGATGCTAATTTAAAGTTAAGTGAAATAAGTATTTAAACGGATAAATCTTGGAGTTTATTCAGAACGTGTTTTCGCTAGCCAAAGCATGTTACGCGTCTGTCCTTGCTGTTACGTGGAGTTGCTGATACGCCATTTTGGCCATTTAAAAACTTATCACGCCGGGTAGGTTATTGTTAAAGCTTACAAGAAAAAGTATCACCGACTTTTCTAGCTTTTAGTATTTAACAGTATAAATCACACTTCAGCACTAAATAGCCTTTAATTAAAGACTCCCATCATAGCTTTAAAATAGTCACTATCACTGAAGCACTATAACTGTGGTGATTATTCACAGAATAGAATCAGTTCCAACGAAAAAAATCTTTATTATCACGAAAGAAAAAAGATAACGCTGCTACACTTTTCTAGAAGTTGAATATCTATTACTGTTGCCATACTCAAATTACTAAACTATACTAACAAAATATAAATAAGGCTTACTCATGAGCCAGGAAATATAACATACAAAATAAAATAAGTAATGCATTAAAGATATTGTTGCTTTAGCAAAATTTTAGTACCATGTGTAGAACGCTTCTCATGTGCGACTCCTTATTGTACACAGTAAAGTTCCGAGATAGTTTCCTGCGTTATTCTATATATGGGATCGAATAATGAGCAATATGTGTGAGATCTCGTAGAGTTATCGCGATTCATGATCGGGGTTTATTGATATCATAGTAAATATCCAAGCTACAGTAATGTCTGGTGCTCTATTAGTGATGGAAACAAATGGTAAAAAAAACTCTGGAAGCATGCATGTAGATTTCACATATACTATAATTGATGTTAACTGGTTTCTCTGAAAACTTTTGAGATAGGGTAATTGGTATCCAAGTTTCCATTATAAATAGGACGGAAAGGCCAGCATATGATTGAGATCTCTTGGAGATTTAAACCATTTGCAAATTTTTAATGATCTTTCGAAAATCAGTCCCGAATAATATGCGGCCTTTGCACAATGTTTCTTTATAGAGTTCGCAATAATAATCTTTTTTTTTTTTTTTCTTTTTCTTTTTTCCAGTATACAATAATAAGCTGAATGTGGAGCCTCTGAAATCAGGCATCCTAGATCTTTGATAGAACTGTGAACAAGAAAGAAATGATGTGCTCAGCCTTAAGACCTTTACAAGATGGTTTGAATATTTATTACCAACCATAACACTTATATGTTCACAAACATAATGCACATACTTTCTTGATAAGAGTTAAAATATGATATAAATATAAAATTTCGTTATAGTGAATGTGTATTTAACAAAAAGACAACTCTTTTTTTACAGAATGAATTTATTTCCATATTTATAGTTTACAGTGGCCTCATGAATGCATAAATCGTAGCACTTTGATTACATCTTTAGTTCTTTTAATTAAGGTACGATAACTGTTCCTGAAATGAAAAGAAAATTAGAAAATTTAAATCAATATCTTGTATTTCTTATTTAAATTATACAGGTGTTAAAATCTTGCACTTATTTCGCAAATTAAGTAGATGTTAAATGCGTATTATTACTTTTATTATTATTTTACGAGAATCTGTTTCTTATCAATTAGTTTTTTTATTTAAATTTTGAATTCGAAAATTTTTTCCTATAACGGAAGAAAATTAAAGCGGTTTGAACTGACCCGGACACTACATACACTGTACAGCCAAATTCAGCCACGAATGCTTTGGGGAAACCGAAAAAAGATGATTTAAAAAATATTTTTACCATCCTACACCAAAAAATTAAGATATGGTGTGTTAGTTCAATGTCGTATTTTGGAAGCTATAAGCAATGATCATATGCATTTTGGTAAAAATAGCGCACATATTAATGAAAATAAAGTTTTCTATTAAAAAGGGGCAATTAGTTTAGTATTTTTCCCTCTGAAAATGCAGAGTCTTTACTCGAATTCAAAGAAACTTACGGAAAACATAAGAACGTTTCCCTCCCGAAAGCAATTAATCTAAAATCTGTAATAAAATAAATCAAAATGCGATGAGATACAAGTATCTAAAAATAATTTTAATTATGTATGTGTTAATTATATATATATTTTATAATTTCGTATCCAGTATATAGGAACTTTATATAAAATTTATAGGTCTGTATGATTCCAACATTTAAGTTACAGCTAAAAATAAGGAACCTTAAAATCTTGCTAAGCGAATAATCACTTAGTTCAGTAGACAGAGAGCAGAACTCAAGAAGAGTTAAATAACCGTTATTATTCAAAATAAATTTAACAGTCAATTTTTATTGTGAATTGCTCAATCTCAAATCTGAGAAACGTAATTAAAAAGAATTATTTATTAATTTTAAGCTAGAAGTAAAATGTTTTTCCGAATAAGATAATTTACGGACATTGTTCATACTATATAATTGAAATTAATATTTTAATAAACTTTGCTTACTAAAACATGGTTAGGAAAACAAAATTTGCATATGCTTATAAGTAGTGCAGTTTGATAACTCAAAATATTAGAAAAATGAAAAGTGCTTATGTTACGAAAGGCCTTTAAATATAAACAGGGAATTATCAGGTAAATTTTATTCATTTAATGCAATGAAGGGACTTCTAAGTTCTTTCGATGCATTCATCTGCCACTGTAATACATTTGCACATATTAATACAATGCAATACATTTTAAGTCACTAAGTTTCTTAATTCCAATCGAATAAAATCTGTAGAATCAATAGATTTATTTCGAAATAAGAAATATTAAAAATCAGGTATGCCTTCTCTGGGATTCGAACTCTAGGCCTCTCAGCTGCCAGCTAGATGCGCTTCCAAATACATCACGAAGACACGTGGTAAGGAAGGAGTAAATTCCTTGCATTCACTCTCACTCAAAGGGCGACTAAGAAACAGAGGGCCCCAGTAGCCGAATCCTGGTTGTTATGAATTATCGTTCACCATATTTTAGTTCGCGCACCATTTGTAGAGATAATGAGGTCTACAAGTATTTCGGAATAGGAAACACGAAAAAACAGCGATTCCATTGCCAGGATATCCAATCCGGACCGACTGCTAACCGAACGAAATTCCAGGTATACCATAAAGACACCGGATAAAGAAAAAGAAAATTCCTTACTAGTCTTTTAACTGCATCTTGAATTTCAGTCAGAGATGACGGCTAATTAGGCGAGCAGCTAAATATGCACTAGCATATGAACACATATCATAACCTCCTCAGATATTTTCTGCAGTATTTTGATAACAACAGGTACCAAATGTAAAAACAAAGACATCCGCCATCTCACTGCAAACAGCAAAGGAAAGATAAAGCTGAGATGGGTCAAAGTCCACATCGGAATAGAAGAAAATGAGCTCTCACATAAACTAGCGAAAGCCGCAATAGCGGATCTTAGTACTCATGACATTTATATTCCAAAGCCAATCTCTCACCTCAAAAACAAGATCATTGTTCTGGCCATATCTAAATGGCAAGAGAATTGGGACTAAACTGATGTCGCTCGAGAGACCTGTAAATATTCACTGAAATTAAGACTTAACAAGAATCAGGTCTTTACCGAAACCAAGGCTATTTGCAGCTATGCTACACAGTTATACACAGGTTATTGTCCCACCCCTGCATATCTGCACAGATTTGGCAAAACAAAATGGACAAGTGCTGCTGTGGTATTAAAGGCGACCTCAGCCACTACTTACACGACTATCACGTAACGACAAGCCTACATCCACTAAATCAATAGACAAGTAATAAACTAAAATGGTGAGTGTTGCTTTCAAGCAATCATATAACTCTAAATAGAGCGATAAGGTTTTTAAATGCACGTTTGACAACTCTACTAAGTTGTAATTCTTTTCAACACTGAAAACACCGTAAAGAATATTGATTGTAAAGACTGCAAGCACCAATTATGTAATACATTTTAATAACCGTAATATTGAGTATCATAATTACGAGTTCAGTTCAAAATTCATATGTAAAAACACAGCTTCAAATTTTATGTTCCGGAACTACAACTGTTAACACATTGTAAATATCTGTGAAAGTCTATTTTCAAAATTTGCAAAATTCCAGTGTCTATAGGTTTTAGTTCCACGTAATATACGCGGGACTGCATCTGCAAACTATTCTTATAATTCTACTACTACACAAAAATAAATACCTGATTTTCCTTCCTGCCGACCTTGCGTTTGGGTTGTGGTTGGTAAGGTAGTAGTAGATAACTTTCCACTGTAAATTAGGCAAATAAGCGTAAGAGACGTCTAGTCAGCGGTGGGAAAAAAGACCTTGACCAGTTATTTCACTACGTTAATAGCATGCTCAATAGATTTTGAATTTATTCTCTCTTAAAAGTTCCTCAAATGAATCGAACAGTTTCAAGGTTCAGTCACTTTCAAACTTATTTTTAAGTCTCAAATCAATCTGAGATGGGATAACATTTCCATTAGCCAAAATTCTAACGATGAGTTTTCGCTGTGTAAAACAGTTGTGTACCTCATGCCTCGTCAGATTACAGTTAAGAAGACAGATTACAACATGGAAAAGAAACTAGCAAAACTACTGATAAGCGGAAACATAGATGTGTTTGCTCGATGAGATGTGATTAAGTTGAATTTCTCATAAGAACGGAACATAGAAATTCCTGTTCATATCGGAAAGGTGCTCATGTATTAATTGTTGAAGTAAAATTTTAAAGATAAAATTTATCTTGATTATAATTTACTATCAATAACTATCAAATGTTTCTAGATATTCCTTTACTACACATATTATATTCGTTACGTACTGCCTATTATACATTCGTTACATACTATTATGCGTTCGTTACATACTGATTCGTTACATCAGAACATGTATTTTTTTCCAATGGCGGACCCAAACTGTCCACAGACTTTGATCACTACTAAGGCCAGAAGCGGTGGTTACTTAACAATGGAGGCACCAAATAGGTGGTCTACCTTTCCCTTCTATAATGGGACAGACAAATACAACCAAGCCTTCTCCCGGATTCGAAGCCGGGCCCTTTGGTATCCAGTCGGCTTCCCTAACTACGATACCGTCTGTGCGGCTAGAACATGTAAGTAACTTACTAAAACTAATATCGGTCACAGATATCGTTTGATGTTTAGTAACTATATGACAGTTCAATTTGCTATATGCAATACAAAGGAAAAAAATCTGATGTGTACACCACATGACTTCCTTGTACGAAGTATTAAATTATACGCATTTTAATTGCATTTCGTTTAAATTTATTGGATTGAATTAAATCTATTTCGCCGACAGCGCATAAACCACAATAGAATAAATGCATTCTTTAAAATTTACTCTATTTGTTACCATAGCGACACTCTGGCGCTAGGTTCACTTAACAGTATTATATTTCGTTCATATATAACCAGAATGCACAAAATTTATATCATTTAAAGAATTATCTAATCGTGCCACATGTTCTGTTCAAATATAATAAGCTAGAACCATGTAAAAAAGAAATTAAGCAAACAAAACAAAAAAGAAACGTTTTTACAGACGATTGAGTATTGATCATTAATTCAGTTCTCACTTCGCGACAAGGCAAAAATATAAAAACTCAAATATCTGTATTAAAAATTACGAAGTAAATCTTAAACACTTATTTCGTCGAAAAATTCCAGAAAGGATTAAGCATGATTTATTCGCAATAATAATGAAGGCGTTATCTTGTTGTTGCGAAGCTACGTTTCTCTAGTTGGCAACACTCCGCTACTCTGCTGTTTCAAATGCAAACAAGCAATGGCCGCCATCAAAAAATTATAGGCTTAGCGGCACTTAAACAACTTTTAAATTGTTGATAATTCTAAAAATATTGCATACAGATTTACTAAAGGGATAAAAACCTTAACCGGAAGATAAGAACAACCTAATTCAATTATTTTTAAAACAAAAAATATACAATTTACAAACATATAAGAGTAAAGAAACTGAGATCACTGAGCCGGGTAACAAAGTGGATGTATATAAAAATATATTTATATACGTTTGGAGCAACCGATTAGAACCAAAATACGAAGTGCACATCTACATGTTATAGTTGTCCTATATACAAAATTTCAACGTTCTGAGGCTTCTCGTTTTTGAGTTATGCGAGATACACTGTAACACTTGTAAATTTATGCGATTTGAATGAAAGAACGAAAAAAGAAGCCACGAAAAATTCTCTTCAGAATTCATTTTAAAGCAGTTTTATATTTTTTTTGGAGGAAAAGAGTCTTTTATTCTGTCCTTATGTACGCAAAAACATCGTTAAATTGCATTCGAAAGCAGTCAAAACGGATATTTTCGTTGAAATCTGCTGCCTGAAACTTTTCGCGATTACAATACTTCCTTTTTACTTCGTACAAGGAAATAAAAATCAATAGTCAAATTTATGTATCTGCAAATACTGAGCATTTTGATCTAAATGAGGGTTTCTCAACTGGTGCCACTGGTGCCACGCAAAAGAAAAATAGGTGGTACGCAAAGAAGCAAAGTATTTTTAACTATTAATATTAAATTCAAAAATTAAAACCTCAGCATCCTGTTTGAGTTTTTTCTGTAACACTTGTAAATTTATGCGATTTGAACTTTGTTCAAGAGTGGTGGTGGTAGTAGTATTTTGTATTGGTGGTACTAAGGGTTTCCAAATTTTGTTTAGATGGTATGCGTCAGTAAAAAACGTTAAGAACCGCTGATCTAAAGCATTTTCCATGTGCACTCAAGCTTGAATATTGAAGACAGTAGCAGTTTCTAATCTTATATTTTTGGACTATAGCCAGAATGTTGTACATATGAAACAATCAGAATCTGGATATATAATAAATGAATAAAGAGATTTAATATTTCCAAAATGTGGCCAGAAACAAAAACATGGTTCCAACGATTACGCAGAGCACAGATGACTGACAGTGAAGAATGATTTCCTTGAGTTGAGTGATAAGTTCATGAATCATCACAACCGGCGTATCCAGTAGTCTTTAAATACTATATACAAGGAAATATTAGTACACTGTTGCACTTTTGCGCCATTAGAATAAACTATTGATTTAAGAATGTCTCAGACATAAATGGAAAGCCTGCAAGATCATCTCCAGCGCACCTCCTATGTATCTCAAATACAGATCCGTATTTTCTGAGTATTCCACAATTAGCAAAGCTCGATTAGTATGTGAGTTGTCCCCCATAAACTTGCATTAAGGTTCTGGGCGGCTCCCGCACGACTGTACATAATATTTGAAAAATCACCTGCATAATTTGATTATTGTTGAGCATCAAAAACACACAGGATCCCCACTTAAAACACCAGTTTATTTATTACTTTAAATCTTAAATACTATTCACATCAGCTAAATAAAATAAAGACCTCTAGTCACATAAATTAATCATTAAAAAAAACTAGAATTTTAGCAGTATTTTTGTTATTGCAATAATTAGTCATTGTGTGTATTGTAATTATTTGAGAAGATTTCACTTTAAATACAAACTGATGTTGCTTACAAACGAATGCGGACACTGAAAGTTTCTCGTAACATTATATTTACAGGTTATAAAGACTAAAATTTTCTAATCAGGGAAATATTTCTGGTTTTGTAACAATTAACTTTTACCAACTCCTTTTGTTTGTGCCATTGTTTGTTGTCACATATATATCTCAAAAGTATCGTTTGGCTTTGTCAAATTCATCATCGAAAATATTTATTCAAAAGATTCGCCCCCAAATATACACTGTATGTAATAAATTATAGTCTCTAATTTTTAATTAATCTTTTTCCAGAATTGATTAAAAATTTCTACAATAATTTTTCTATATATGACTTTATATGATTTAGGATATCGGAGAACAGTATCTTCAGGTAGGCCTCCATGAGTAATATCTACTCCAGCTCAAATTCGATATTCAATCACATTCTAATGGCCCACCAGAGGGCGAGCGGTAAAAGCCACTGAACACTGGTAGTTCGGTCCAGAATTTGAGTCCAGGCGAATGGGCTGGCTAAATGGGCGTTTTCGTGTTTTTACCCATGTGTAACGTGGATACGATCCAGTTTCCCTTAGATAAACCTTCACGGAGCATGCCTTCCTTTCCGTGTAGTACCTAATTGCGAACGAAGCACGTAATCACTAAAACAAAATCACATTCGAATGGATCTTTTCTTCGCTGCTTAAATTTATTCTACTATCAAAGTCCTTGCTTGAAAAGTGTACTTGTATACCACTCAACAAGCTGCCCGGACGAAAAAGTGGTTAGTGACTCTGACTGTCATACCGAAGGGCCCGGGCTCAAATCCCGGAGAAGACGTAGACGTAATTTATCCGTCGCTTGTTAGGAGGCAACGGTGGCTCAGGCGCCTATAAGGAGCCTGCATAATAAGGTGACCACCTCTTCCAACCTTAATAGTGACCAACACCTATAAATGGCTACAGGAAGGAATTAAAGAAAAGAAAAGTAAAATTTAGGAAAAAACGTATTATTCGTCAATTGCTCTAAAGCAACAGACAATTTTTTCAAAAGCTTATGTGGGCTAGCATAACAAAAAGCGCAGCTATAATTGTTGTTTACGAAAACCAATTGAACTTACTTTTAACTGTTTATTCAACTTTCGTAAAAATTCCATCATTTGCTCGTGACGTAGTTTTTCCATGTCTATTCTTTGCATGGACAACTGTTCTTCTGCTTTAATTTCGGCTTCTAAGTCCTTTTTTCGTTTTTCAGCTCTCTCAATTTCTGCCATCAATTGGTTATACTGAAACACAGCATAACTAGCACTACATAAATTAGTATAACACATTTCGAATGGATGTGGTTAAAATAAGTTAGAGCTCATTTACTATAATTAGTATAACAAGTTTCGAATGGATGTAGTTAAAATAAGATAGAGCCCATTTAGTATATATGTTAAGTTTGTTCTTAACATATCAGTTAAACTACCCTAATTAACGCATCACTGTAAACGATAGAACTATATAGAACTGAGCCTAGATAATCGTTAGAACGGTTAAAATCGAACCTCTTAACCGAACCTTCTCCGCAGCTGGGTTCCTTAAAAAAAGTCCGCATATGTTGTAAATAAGTTAACGCCATTATAATGCGTCTATTACAACATTAATATTTTTAGACACTTTTTATATTTTTCTTCTTCTATGCATGACTTCATTCCTAAATTGAGGAGCAAAGAAGGCATCATCCGATTAATTAATTAAAACTTGCCTGCATAATTTTAAAAATAATTAAGTAGCTAGATAAAACGAATAGATTTATAATAAAAATAAAAATGAAGCATAAATAAATCACTAAGTAATAATAAATAAAAACAAGCTAAAATGGTTCATTTCAGGATGAAATATTGTTCATTAGCGAACTCATAACTGTTAGCACAAGCAAGATCACAAGGTCCTCAAGGTCCTTCTAAGATAACAAAGCTAGTATTTGAGTTATATATAAAAAAAAACCAGAAAAACATGTATGTACCTTCTTAGTAATCGAGGTTTAAACCTAAGATAAACGACCAACTGTCAGGCTTAATCACTCTAGCACTGATTGGACTAACATATTATGAAAAATTAAAAATATATATATAAGAAGTCGGTATTTATCTCTTTTATGAAATTTTGAATGTGATCTTTTGCTTTTTTAATTATTACTTCCGTTTCATGAACTGCAATTTATTTTCATCGATATTTTATGAACAGTATTTCATTCTACCTAATCTTTTTAAGTTATTAGATATTTGAAAAGAAATCTCTCAGGTCTTCTTATTCGGCTTCATATTATTTAACTAAATAGCGAAGGAGATTTTGAACTATTTTTGTAATTGCACGGGAGTGATTATGGAAAAGATACAGACCGATTACACTGCACTATTATTTAAATTTTGATTTGAAAGCAACCAAATGCACAGGCACAGTAATTTTTAGTACAACCAAGTATTTTGTCTAAATCAAATTTTCATCTATTGAATTGTAATTAACTGAGGTACGTGTGCACGCAAATTAAATACTGTGAATAAATTGGCTGAATAATATGTTTCAAAATTAAATTGCGAAAGTTGAACTAGACAGTTAACTAAAAGGTTTGAAGCGAAAAACCTGGTTTTCACTTTGTAATAGCAAAATTTAACCAAAGCTTTGAGCCCCATGCTGTGACATTACAAATACTCCTAAGCACTGCTTGTAAAAGGAAACATTAACGTAAACTAATGAAATTAAAGCAAACGATGCAGCTTTTAGCATTAACTTTATTCTTAATTGCCTTCCTTTTAACTATACTGGATAATTATTTGCCCTCTAAGTTTAAACTGAAATATGCAATATTACAGACAAAAAGACAGCTAAACGCTCAGGATCGCACAGCTGTAACAAAACAGGTTTCATATTGCCCAGATGCCTTTATGCTAGCTAAAAGACGTGATTTATTCCAACTAAGCATGTTTAGAAAATGGTGCAATAATAGTCTATATTCATTTCTGAATTCCTACGAACTACGTAGTCCGTTAATCATATGTTACGTGTTTCTAGACATAATTACGTTATTGAAACAGTAGATGTCTCTTTTTTTATGCCAGGCAAACACTTTTAAAAATACTGCGTCAGCAACATTTTTAATTGATTTCTTCTCTTTTGTCTATATTTTTACCCAAACAAATGACTTCTCTTTTCCGATAGTTTTGCGATAAATTAAGTATTTCCTTTCTATTCGTGTACACAGTTTTCATCAACGCATAGACAAATATACTTGTGGATAGCTTAAAATAATCTTTATAGATGACGTTCAGTTTTTTGTAACAATTCGACAAATGAAAAAAAGAAAAAAAATATTTAAGTACAAGGACTTTGTTAGCTCAATTTAAAATAGGCTTTTCTGTGGCTTCTTGTATCATTTTAAATAAAATTCTGTTTTGGGGTTGAAACTCAGGTTAAAAACAAGACGAGGCCAATTCTACATCCTTACATGCTAGCTAAGTCGAAAAGTTGGAATAAGCTTCTTTCCTCGGTTTATTTAAAAGGCTAGAGCCCTCGCTTTAGTGAAAAAGCTAGTTCTTTCCTCTATTTATTCCTCGATATATTATTTATTGTTGATTTCTACAACTTTATCAGTTGTAATGTTACCAAACAATATCAACGTTCTTTCTCTCTGCATCAGCAGTCGATGTAAGACACGTGTCATCACTTATAGCTATCCTAATCTCTTAGAGGTTTGCAAATTATTACAAGATAGCGAAAAACACTTAAATTACATGAATTTTCGTGATTAGACGTTGCCATATTATCACTAGCGGATTGAAATTATATAATACTTCGAGTTGTCGTTGCTGTTACTTTCTGTTTCCTGCATATATTATTCGTCGTTTCTGGTCCCGAATCAAGTTCTATATCTATATTAACTCCCTTTATGCCCACATCCATCCTTCCACGATCTATAGTTTTCTCGCATTAATACCTCGTAAATTACTTTCATGAAACACCCTTTCTAGCGCGGATCGTTTCAAAACAAATTTAAATAACTTCGTATTAATTACTTGCATTACCTTCTGTTTGGCACATAAGACTACTCTATTATTCTGCGTTCCCTACGGTGTATGCTGGGCTTAGTTACGCCACTTAGACGCTAAGCTGAAAAGCTCCTGTCAAAGCGTCGCAAGAGCTCAGCAACCAGTATGTCGCTTAACCTAACTGGGGATGTTTCAGTTTTCAACTGGGAAGCTCTCTCGTCGGTGATTCGGTTCATAAACCCAGCAACATAGTATGAAGTAATGCTTCGACAAAGTAATGCTTCGCACGTAAAATTCTCTTTATCAGGGTCGCTTCAGAAAGCCATTTCGTTTCATTTTGCAATAAGCGTATTCCCGTTAGTTTTCAGGTATTTCAAGATTAGTTTTTCAGTCTGGGTCTATAACAAATATGCACAAAAATTTCAAAAAGGTTAAAGGGAGCAAGAGAAGATGCTGATCTTCATCAAAACTCAGTTCTATAAAAAGCTGAAAGTTTCCAGTGCGTAAAGTGGAAGTGACAGCAACCGAGGAAACACTATTAAATCTCACAAAATCTATTTGTTCATCAAATATTCAAAAGCATTTAAAGGAAAATCGTTTTACGTTTTTGAAACTAGTCGAGCGCAGTTGGTTCTTGATGAAGGGGATGAGCTCATCTGTATGCGAGGAAGGATTATCTCGTGTTCTTTTTTCCCGTGGTTGCCATAAGAAACTACTTTTTTCGTTATTCTTACAAACGAAATAAATGTTAGAACTACATTTAACTCTTCTTCATGAACGTGTTCTTGTGGTACGTGAAAATATTAAAGGTAAAATACAGTGTTACGGATTTGGTATTTAAATAGCTAATGTTTGTAGAATGATAAATTAAATTGTTTATGCCCTGTGCAGTGCAGCGCGTGACGAATATTAAGAGAAAGCTAAGCCGGGATATTCAAAATACAAGAGCACGTGCATTTAACATTTAACAAATAAATATCTCTTTTTCATTGCGAGAAATTGCTAGAACAATCACGTGCGGCCGATTTAAAGAGCTATAAAAGCCAGAGAAAGAACACCTCAGCTCAGTTTTGTTTAGCAAAGTGCTGTTGTTTACTTTAGCGAATTCGCGGTGAAATCGGATTAGCTTTCTCTACGTTTCTCTGTTTTGACTTAGTTATGTTGAACGTTTTTAGAAGTTTAAAAGATTACTACTGTGAGGTATTGGAATATTGTACGAATATCTGAGGAAATTTAAGCATTTTTTTATTTATTGTGATAATAATAAATTTTATTTCTTTTTCATCGGACTTGTGCATTCAATTCATAACGAACCCGTACTCACGCAACAATTTTTGGTGTCAGGAGTGGTATTTTGAATGCCAATTACAAAAGCGAGGGAAGAAAAATTAAGCAATTGATAGCAGTCTCTGCCTCCTTTAAGGAAGAGATGGAAGCTGACCAAGCATCCTTTAAAGAAGAGATTAAAGCGGGACAGGAATCCGTTAAAGAAGAAATGAATTTGGGTTAAGTATTTGTTAAGGAAGAGATGAAGGCGCTTCAGGATTCTGTTAAAAGAGAAATGAAGGCCGTTCAAGAAAGGATTGAAGCAGGTCGGGAGGAAATAAAAAAGGAATATGCATATTCCTAAGATGTCCACTTCTAGAAGTCACCAGTATTTCTGAAAAAAAAAAACCACGGGACACCACTGATAATGGTAGTCAAATCTGATAGTCAGTATGATAGGCAAATATAAATGAGCATTAATATTTGAATACCGTTTTCCTATAATAGGTAATCTGTCTGACTTGACCATTGCTTACTTATAAAATAATATGTCTGCGTTTACCAACCTGAATCTCGACGCTGTTCTTCTCGGCTTCGGCTTGTGTCGCTTTTCGGATGCCATATTCCATACCACTTTCGTATAATTGTTCGTATGCAGCAATCGTCATGCGAAATTCATCACGAACTCTGAGCAAGAGAGAACCCCTCTCGGCACAAAGGATTGTAGATTGGCGAATGAGTTCATCTCAAGAGAAAACAAAACAGAATGAAACTATAAATTTATAGGCGTGAAAAATTTAAGTAGTATCGCTGGTAATGCAAACTCACTATATTAATTATAAATTCTAAAATTGCTTTAAGGTTAGCATTTAAGCAGGTTTTTTTAAAAGCAAGGAATTTTGACACACACACACAAACACACAAAAAAAAAAAAAAAAAAAAAAAAATGGAAAAGGATGGATATGATCTCAGCAATGCATACTAGAGTTATCTGCCTCGGAGAAATGTATTTTCGTAAAGGATTACACTCACGTAAAAAGCCGGGAGTTGCCGAAATAGGAAACTTGAAACAATTTAGCTCACAAATCTAATTTTGTTGCCCAAAGCAATTAACTACTAACCCATATAAGTTTTAAATTATTGTTAGAGCTAAATGATATATGCAGCAGACAGTAAAACAAAATGTTGGTTTATGAAGTAGAACGATTAGGCGGGGAGAGTGGGTTGCCGAAAAGCGGTTTGTAGGACCATAAAGTAAGATCACCATAAAGATAGATTGCTTCAGAAATCAGTCAACTTCAAATAATTCGCATTTCATTGAGTTGTCTGTTTTATGTAAAGCATCTGACACCTATGGAAAAAAAATCACACGCTTTTTTTTAAATAACCGCATTAACGTTTAATGGTAATTATGATAGCCAGACTGTACTTCAGCCAATAACAAAGAACACAAAATACCTAGTATTAGATGCTGAATGTGGCAGCTATCATTATTGAACACTGTCTGAAGGTGACATAAGATATACGAACATCCAAAAGAGCACTATGTTATGCTACAGATTGTCAACACAACTGAATTTCCGCTACATGTTTGTGATATCAGATAGTCGTAATAATAAAAAATGACAGGATGTCAGATCTTAGAGATAACCATTTATACCATAAGTGGTGGTTTATAACCCCATCTTGGCTAAAGTTTTGAATATGAGTAATGCAGTATGCAGTGCTATTTCATCCTGAATGAATAACACGTACAATGGAACTTCGATATACGAGTTCGTTCCAGCATTGGGCTCGTATAGAGAATTTCTAGTATCTAGAAACAAACTTCCCCATTGAAAAATAATAGAAACTCAGTTAATCCGTTCCTCACCCCCAAAAATATCAACATAAAAATCAATCTTTCTAATAAATAACACTAGTAAATAACATAACCATAGTTTATCTTTATGATAGCTTCTGAAACCGACCTTTTAACTGCTTCTCGTTAATCCACACCAACAACAGATTCTCAATATCTTTTAGGAGTTTCGGACGATGCTAGGAAATAACGGTAACTCCATTGGCCACATTAAGTTTCTTAATTTCTTCCTTCTTCTTCAGAATAGAGCAGATCGTCGATGTCGAACGTCGATGTCGAACATGACGGAAAATCTTCGCCAATTCCGTCACTCTTACACCCCGTTTAAGTTTACCTATGAATTTTTTCTTAATTTCAAGGGCTATGTCTTCCTTATATTTCTTTGCAACACTATCTGAGGAAACAATCTTTTTGGGAGGAATCGTGAAATAATTATTTTTACTTTAATGTAATAAACAATTAACTCACAAGCGCACAAACACGTAGATCAAAGACACTGAGTAATCTGACGAGGGGATTCCATGAGTCGAGCCGGATCGGGAAATGGCGCCACGCATACAACAGCCTGGCTCGTTATTCGAGTCAATGCTCGTATTTAGAGGCAAATGTTTAGCTCATACTTTCTCGTATCTCGAATTTCTCGTACATAGAGATGCTCGTATCTCGAGGTTCCACTGTAATTGGTGTTATCAGATTACTTGCTTTTTTAATGTTGTCTCAGAATATGCCATCATCATGCTGACTTGTGAAAGTGTTGCTGAAATATTACTATTGCACGCAACCTATGGCCTGAATGGGGCATCACGCGCTCAGTAAAATAACGTCTAAATAGATTAGTGACTTGGGGGGGAGGTAAGTAAAGTGAGGCTTCAAAGCGAAAAAGGGGAAAGACCATTGCCTTGATACAGCGACAGATATAAGAAGTAATTCTATGCATCAAACTGCAGACAGGACGCCTAGAAACATGAAAATGATATGAACACAGACAGGAACAGGAACAGGCGAAAATTATTCTAATTCAGAGAGTGTAACATATGAACCTACACATAATTGTGCGAATACAGTTATGTATAAGGAACACTCAAAACATGAAATAGAATAACAGTACAAATTTCAGAATTCCTGAAACATTATCTATACATAAAGATAAAATAATAGAATTTAAACACAGAGCCCGTAACTGGCATGTAAAGAAACTTCAAAACCTGAATATAGTAAACCCAAAACTAAAGCAAAATACTAATATATACAGAAATACAAAATGTGCAATTAAGAATAGTATAAGAAATTTAAAACCTGAATTACAACTTAGATAAATGTAAACAAATAAATGCAGCTTAAGTGACAAAATTATCGGGGCCTAATAGAGCAAAGGTTTAAGTGCGCAGTAATTGGTTTAATATACCCGTCATTGTCCAAAACTTTATAATTAATTTCTAATTCAGATTGGAGCCATAGTGAAGAAATTATCAGTGCTCTTCCTAGGGTGAACAGCAGTTACGGCATAACCATGATTCATAAAAGGGTTCCAGTATGTAGCGCCATCTAGTGAATACAATTGCTAGTGAAATTAAAGCAATAAACCGAATTTCGCGTATTTTCCTGCTTTCTTCTTCATTATACATTGTAAATTTAACTGACAAATAAAATTTTTAAACGTTTACCAATTACTAAATAATTTTGTATACCTTTATACAATTTCCCATTTATTATATAAACAAATAATCCATATTTATATACTTTATTTTATAATGTAATTTAAGGCTATTTGAAACATGCAAATTTTCGTAGCCTGGAAAATTGTCTTAAATTGCACTTTGTGTTTTGATGCACCATGATGAGACAGTTTTAAAAACATCTGCGATGTACATTCTAAAATGCCTTCACAAGTATATACGTCCAGGTTTTATATTTTCAAGTATTAATATAACAGCTAAATTGCTTAAATTGTGAAAGCTTAGAAATATAAAGCTGTGCTTAAATATCTCATAAATGACTTTGAATATCATGTTTCCAGTTTAAGAAAAAAAATCAATGAAACAGAAGCTTTTTTGCTCAAAGTGTGACATAGTATTGAATGGTCGAAGTAAATCTTTAAGCCACTGATCTACAATGTTCAGGATATTATCGTTTCACACATGTTTTATCTGTAGAGACTGTATTAATGCTGTCCAACAACCACATTCAATTATTGCATGTTTCAGCGAGTGACATCATACAGCAATAACAATAATTATAATATGTAGAAACATTATATCTCTTAACTAAATGGAAAATAATAATTATCAAATATAGTTACCGAACAATTGATCATATAATTCTCGCCTAATTGGACAATATCCTTGCATTCGAACTTGTCTTTCTTTTAAGCAACTTTCAAAATTCTTGCTTAGTTCGACTAATTGTGATCGGCTTATTGGTTGGCGAGATAGCCTCAAAAGGTACATTTTGCCGTTTCTCTCGATTGTCCTAAAATAGGTACATTTAAATTTTAAATTATGCATAAAATTTTATATATTATATATACTGTCTGCGGCATATATTAGTGCTATAAAAGATTCTACTGTTCAATAATGGCAAAAATTGAATTATAATGTAAATAAACAATACTAGCAGTTCTTCACTGTCTCATTTTGATTGTTTGGCAAGCATTAAACTATAATTTAAAAATGCAGCAATAAAAGCTGCAATATAATGCAATATAATATAATAATAATGCAAACAATTTTAAGTGTATATAAACTTACAAGTAGGAGTACTCAGTTTAATTTTATTCACGAAAAAAATGTTGTTTCTCTATGAAAAATGCAAGACTTCGCTTTTTAGTTCATTCTATATTAGTCTAAGAGGTACTTTTCCGGTTGGCCGGCGCAAGCGATAAAGTCGCCAATACAACTATGCCAAACGGAATATCCTCGCTGATAACTTCTTACGCCTCATTTTTAAAACGTTGTATTTATGCGTTATAAAAATATAAAAAAAATTTAAAAAATGTTTTTAAAAGCAAAAACTTCCAAAAAAAAATAAATAAATAACTGATTTTATTCCTAAATTTCTCGAGCTGATGTGGCTCCCTCTGTGTATATGGGGTGGTGGTGCATTTAAATGGCACAGCAAACGAGGGCATCTGTGAAGGATGGATGCCTTCTAGGGCTTTCTAAGAGAAACTGGCTCGTATATCGTTACACATGGGGAAACCACGAAAGCGCCATGCAGGCCAGCCGATTGCGGGATTCGAATTCTTACCGAGCGACTAGGTCAGCGCTTTACCACTCGGCGCTGGGTGGGCCCTATGTGCATTATAACTTATTATGCATTTTTCTCATTTCTACTCACTACTTAGATATTTTTCTGATGTGGAGGTACTATTTTGGCATAGGACTTCATACTTATATCATTGGCATTGGCATTTTCAAAAAGTCGCACCATTCTATCAGATTGACTGTTCTTTTAATACTGCATTCCATTACAACAATTTTACCAGGTGTACAATTACGCTCTACGGCATTCGCGGTAATTCGGTCCATTAGAATGCAATCACACCGCTCCCCGAGACGAAAGGCAAGTCAAGGGTTAAATTCAACATTCCAGACTCCACTAGCGAAGTAAAGCACTGCGGTTTTACATAATTCTGAGTAGCTCTTCGTCGAATTGATACTTCTTGCATTTAAACTTGTATTCCAAATTAAGATTTAGCTTGAAATAATTAGATAATTACTGAGAGAATTTTTTGTAGTAGTGACGTGAGATGAGATCACTTTGGGGTCACGTGATATGAACCGGCGATCAGCTATGAAGCATAATAAATTCTTAATAATGTCTTTTTAAATTTATTGTCTTTATTTATTGGCTTTTTACAAAATTTTAAACGAGATTGAAATATTTATGCCTTCAAAGTAAAAAATTCTTAGAACTAACATTTGTTAACATTATTTATCTGTATACTTGATGTTGTCGCCAACAAAGTCTGCTTGACGAGATTTGCGTCGGCGAAACGGAAAAGTACCTTTCAAGAACATTAAACTCTGATTTTTGAAAGTGTTTAACTATGCCTTTCAAAATATTTGGTGTTCCCCTTCCGCACTCGTATCTGAAAACTACTCTTAAATGTAAACTAATGAAGCAGTGGCAAAACTACTGGGAGACCGCACACAGCGAAGACGTATGTTCCACCAAAAGTAACCGAATTTAATAGCATTATTCGCACCTCCGAGTATCTACAGGTCATGCCCTATATGTCCTATCTGACCATTTCGCTCAGACATGACCATGTATTTGTGGCGTTCTGGCGACCAGTACTATCTGTTGCTGCTCGCACCTGAATTCACATTAAAAACAAACTGCATCAATATCCGCATGGTTCAAGAACACCAAAGAATAATATGCGCTCAGCCGCATTAGAGACTGTCCCATGCTAAAATCTGGCTGAATCTTTCCTGGACACCGTGCCGTCATACTGCTCGTACATATTTATTTACTTAATGTCTGTTTTTTTTTTTTTTTGTGTGTTTTTAATTGTATTTAAATATGATTATCCAGACTCATTAATGTATTCACAATTGTATGTATTGGTCATCTTTACAGTATCTGTTTTTATAGCCATCCTTATATAACGTACGCCTAACATGGAAGATAGTGAAAGGTTCCGCTAGTCTCAGCAGTCCCCACCATGCACCTTCTTTTCATGTTCTGGTCCTAACCTAAATATATTTGTAGCCTTCCTTTATAGCAAAATTTCTCTTCAGCATCAGGTAGTGCTCACATTCATAGGATGCAGAACTTAGATCCACCGAATTCCGGCTCCAGTATTTCTCCGTTTTTAAATGAAATGTAATTTCACTCGGATATCTGAATTAATGAGGCCATATTGATTTAGTATTACATTAATTGAATTAAATTTAATTAATTTTTGTTTATTTACTTGCATTTAATTTTTAATTAGTAATAATTTGTATTTAATATTTTTTTAACTTTCCTGAAACCCTTCCATAGAGTATGAAAATGGCGACTTTGGAAAGAAACTGAATATTTGTCATGTGCATGGTTGCCTGAATAATTGTTATGTGCGTGGTTACCATAGTTCGGTGTATTCTGAAGCTATGGCTATTCCTACTAAGGTGGTTGAATATACTTCAGTAACTAATAATACTGCCTTCTATAAACTACTTTTATAACTAGAAACTGTTTAAATTTAACAAAAAAAAAAAAAAAAAAAAAAAAAAAAAAAACTGCTGGGTTTAAGCCTAGTATACAGTACACACGGGATTCGGCGACTTATGGTGACATTATTATGAGCATTAAACGAGTTATTTTGTTAGCTACAATTTTGAAAATCGTGCCAAGATCGTGCCGTATACTAAATTTTGCCAATCTGGTGTTTGGCTTCTCTTTTACAGACGCCAAAGAGCTCACTCATGCCAAAGAGCATGGCTGGTGCATAACAGAAAAGAGCTCAAAATTAGATGTTAGTCTATAGTCTATGAACAAATATACAATTTAATGGATGTTTAATTTAATTTCATTCAAAATACTGAATTTAATTAAATTTTAAAATTACCGAAAATATTTAATGAGTCTTACGTTGGTAGCAAAATGGAGTCTAGTACTCTTGCTATCGTTTCGTTGCGTACTGCTTCTGCCCTCTGCGCTTCATCTAAAGAATGAGGATCGAAAAGTAGACTATCTGCTTCTTCCCCTTCTTCATCTGAAGAAGAAGATGAACTGTCCTCCGTTTTTGGCGTCTGTTGAAAATTTAATCAATAAAAAAATTTGAATTAGAAATTAATAATTTATAAAAATATTTCTTATGAATAAAATTTATAAATTTTGCTTCTGCTTAATAAAAGAGGCTACATAACTTTGACTTTTGACTTAAAGATAAATTCATCATTTATGTTAATTTAGTAACTGACGAATAGTTATTTTCCATTCGTCAGTTGTTTTGTTGTTTTTGTTAAAAACACAAAATTTTGCTTTTTATTCACTTTTTCATTTCAGTGGCGCCATCTATATTAGGTAATGAGAACCAATCTCTGCTGGTATGCATAATTTAGAGTTGTCAATGGTGATGTTCTTTACATATGGCACCAGTTCACATCGACATCTGCTCTGGCTGCGTTACCCTGGATAATGGCCACACTATCGTTAGGGTGATCTCTGCATCTTGGAGCTATTAGTTAGTCTTGAGCCTGGCTTCTGCTGGATCGTAGCAAGGCGATCAAAACGATAACGTTAAAAGACTCCCCTTAGCACAGTGCATTTGAAGCCGTACATTTGAAAAATCTATTAAACTTCCAAAAAATGTAAGAGCTTAAAACTAAATTTATCTAGATACACAGTCTAATCCAAATGATTAGACTGATAGCATTGCTTAGCGCTTAGCTTAAATGAAGATTTAACTGATTTAACTCAAAGTACAGTATAAATTAAGCATAAATCCTTTTTAAGCAAACAATACAACCTTGTCAAAAACATTTTAATCCATTTCTTCTTATTATTTTTACTATCAATAGTTTCAAATATTTACCGCCGGTCGAGACTCTGTGTCTTCTTTTGGCAAAGGAATTTCTTCATATTTGACAAACAGTAATTTATTTTCGTCCGTCATTTCTGTAATAATTGCAACAAAAATTAATAACAAACATGAATAAAACTCTAGAATCCGAACTTAATTGCCACAGTTAAAGTTGCTAACTTCATAAAATTTTGCTATACTTTTGCTTTTTCTCTATTTCCATATTATAGCAGAAGAAGTAGTAATTTACCATTAAATATATTATATCTCTTTTAATTTGTAATCCTGGCTTTGCAAAACGAAAAGTTTTTTAGGTCGAGAATGGCAACATAAGTTTAGTTTTATATTTCTTTTATTCAATTTTGTTTCATGTAACTGAAAATTTGTTTCTGTTTCGTTATTGTGGGTAATTAAAGTTAGAATAAAAAGTAAATTCAATTCAAGTAATGAAAATTTTTTCTTAAAAATATTTATCTGATAGATTCTGTCTGTATTTCTTTTATAATTTCAGCTTTACATATTAAGATATTCTAGACATGTAAGAAAAACACAAATAAAATTTTTAAAATTTCCAAACGAAAGACTCTCTTTTGCTGACTAGTACGTGTCCGAAACAACAGTCCATTCGATATCCAGAAAAATTAATCGTCACGGTACTCAAACCATCAGATATCCAACAGGAAAAGAATCTGAGTATCGATAGGATTTTATTAGATTTTCAGACTTAGGGACACTTGAATGATACCTTGATCATCATTAAGTATCTGTAGTTATTTGAAGTATTTATTTTAGCATACTTGTGCTTCTTCTAATATCATTTAATCCAGTAGATGGCAGCACAATTCATAAGTATTAATATTTTCTTTTGAACTTTATGGTCAAAGTATTTTTGTACAAATGTTATGCTTTAAAATTTCTGATCAGTTTGCATTCTTGGAAAGAAATTTTTATGTTTCTCAAGATTTTTCATGACTTTTATTCATAGAATTATGTATCATTAAATTCAGTGATTTTGTCGAATGTAGTAAATATGAATTTCTTACTGGTGCCCATACGTGATATCTCGCTTCTTTTATGTATATAAGATAGAGAATACGTAAAAGAAATTCTCAATTTAATTTGCAATAGTCTCTTAATTTTCCGATTTTATTCGATTATTTCCTATTCCTGTCTTAAAGTTAGCAACATGCGTACAATAAATCTTCTTAAATTGCATCACTGCAAAAGTAATCTCTGTCATATGATTCTTATATAAAGCTCATGACACACATGCCAACTTAACGACAAAAAGTCCATTACTCAATAATAATACTAAAAAGTTCCAATCAAAATCTTTATCTACTCTTGGAAATAAAGTAAAAACAAAAATGCCTAATCTGTATATTATTATCTGCCTAATCTGCCTGTTATTATCTGCCTAATAATTTTTAACTTGATTACTATATTATTATCAGCGCATTTCTTATGTGCTTCATCGACCGGCTAGCTTGCTGTCGGAGATT